GACTCCTCGGTTTTCCTTGGCTGCAAGGCACAAACAAACTTTGTGTGCAGTCCGCTAATGTTCTTTACAATGTGGTCGCTGGCCGTCGAGAAGCGCAGAGGCTCTCATGTGGAAGACCACCATGTGGGCTCGCGCGGACGCTCGTTGCCAGGTCCAGGTGGACCTGCAAAATTGTTCTTATGGAGGAGACCGTCCTAAATGACGAGAGGCTGTACATTTTTGTCTCTGCCGCGGCAATGTCTGGGCGGCCGTTGCTTTATGAATCACAAAGCCTGGAACGCTTCTTTTCCGGGGGATGGGCCACAGCGGAGCGGGGAACACTATCAAATTCATGGATCTCTCGCTGCCTGAGGTTCGTGCACGAACCATGCCTCACTCCCAAGCCTCAGTCTTTGGCCCTCTTGTGCCCGAGCATCAGGAGGTCCGCGTACAGCAAGCACCATCTTGGACCACTTGCCTGTGCTCCAAACGGCGCGGCTGAAACAGCCATGGCTTCCTCCCTTCCAGAGCACGCGCCCAGCTGCTTCGGGCTCATTCTGTTACGGATAAGGCGGAGCTTTACCGAGGATCAGTTCATAGCGAAGGCCATTGAAGCTGGTCACTCCCGCGTGCTGTCAGCCTTGCTCCCTGCAGTCCTGGAAAAAGCTGTTGCGATGAACGCCTCAACTTCTTTACAGGATTTGGCATCCATGAGGCTGTCTTGGTTGAAACGTTGGTCGTCTCGGGCCCAGGAGCTAGCTCAGCTGGAAAAGGATTTGCGCAGATCCTTGCCGCCCCATCGAGCTGCAGTCCTGGCTGGCAAGAGGATTCTTCTCTATGAGGAATTGCTGCAGCGTTATGGGTGCCCAGATTTGGGTGTAGTGTCCCTAATGAAGGATGATGGGGTTTGATTTGAAAGGGCAAGTCCCGATCTCAGGTGTCTTTCCGCCGTTCTTTCGCCCAGCAGAGAAGTCGCGTGAGAGGGTTGCCCAAGAAGCGCCCTCCGTGAGAAGAAGCGTACTCGAAGATGCCTCCAAGCCTTTGCCCCACAATGTGATCATTGTGGAGAAAACTCAGAAGGAAGCTCTCAAAGGTTGGGTGTCGGAACCTTTGTTCCCAGCTTCTCTAGAAGAGGATGCGCCGATAAACCGCCGGTTCGCCATCATCCAAAAGGGCAAGCCAAGGGTCATCGATGACTTGCGTCGAGCCTGAATGCCTCTGTTCAGAAGACTGAATTACCCAAGCCTCAATCCACTGAGCGGTGCGTGTGTGCCCTGCCTTTCGGGGCTAGCAGGGCGGTTTACGGTTACCTTAGGCGAGCCCACAGCCTGTGGTGGTTAGCGGTTAGGTGCCTGGCCCTGATGATGATTCACTTTTTCGACGATTTCAGCACTGTCTGCCGCAAAGGTAAGTCCAGCCGAGTTAGCCAGGTGCTGAATAACTTTTTTCAAGTTGCTGGGTTGGAAGGTATCCTTTGCCAATTTTGCCAGGGGTCAGGTTTTCTTCACGAACACGCCCGGTCGGGTGGAGGAAGTCGTTGCTTGTGGATCGCAGGGCCTCGGCCAAGTTCATTGAGCGCCTGAGGGGCAGGATGCTATACGCAGGGGGCCATTTGGAAGGCTTGCCAAACTTTGTGTTCAAGCGCCGCAATCTTGTGAGGCGTTGGGAGGCCTCGTGACAGATGAAGCGGCTGAAGCAATACCCCTTTACCTTGACCTCCTTGTCAAAGGGCCTCCCAGGCTGGTGACTCGGGTGACGGCGCAGCCGCTTTTCCTTTTCACTGACAGCCAGGCACTGAGAGATGTGGTTTGGGGGGCGTGCTTTTGGACAGACGCTCATGGCAAACCCTTGAGGTTCTTTTCACTTGAGCTCACGAGGGACCAAAGGAAAGCGCTGGGGGAGGGTTGCACTTCTTCCATCATCTTCGAGGCAGAGCTGTGTGCTGCCATTCTGGCCATGGTTCTGTGGAAGGACGTTTTGTGTGGTCGGCCTGTGGTCGCAACAGCGCCAGAGATGTTTTCATCAGCGGATCAGCCAGAAACCGAGTACCCATAGCCCTCACGAAGTTATACTTGACGGTTGAATCGTTGTCTCGTTCTTACCCTTGGTTCGCGAGAGTCCCAATCCAATTGTGCCGATGTGCACTCGCGCAAGCTGATTCTTGAATGGTGCGGACTGCGCACTTCCGATTGCCGCGAAGCCCTGGCTTCCATCTTGGAGGTGTGTCCTCTCGCTCATAGTATCGGTTGCGACCCGTAGTCCACTTCCGGGATCCTCATCCTTCTTGATCACACCTCCCTAGGAAACTGTATGGTTTAGTCATTTAGTCCTTGACCCGCGTGAGTTTTATCCGTTTAAATGGGTGTTTAGTTTCGTGCACCTGGTGGACTGTCTGGTCCTCTTGAGTGTGGGCCTTGCCCTCGTGTGTGATGGGAGCCAGCCTGGCTCCTATCACTTGCATATGCATGCCTGACTTGAATGAGCTTTCCCCAAGTCACCTCTGGAAAAGATTGAGCCGTTTGCATTGCATCTTTGAGATTCTGCCGTGAGTGAATTTTATGAAACAGAAATGTTATACTGAATAGTATTTCTTGAACACCGAGCTGATACACTTGAGTGTATTGATGATGCCAAAGGTTTTTGGTTTATCTATTTTTGGCACTTGGTTCAAAATTAAGCTAGCGGTCAACGGGTTGATAGCGCTTTACGTTTGTGCCTTAGGCCAAAAACAAGTTTGATTTTGATTTTGAGATGCAAGGTGCTTTGAATCGTAGAGATCCCAGCCTCACTTGCAAGCATGCGCAATTGCCTTCATGCCGCCTGGCTCAACGCAGTGTGCCATGACCTGTTGCAGTTACATTCTGCATGCCTCACGCACACATGCTCAGGCAACTTGTGACAGCACAATCAGGTCATGACTTGCATCAAAATTTTTCCCGCCCAGCCCGCCCTGCACATCAGTTAATGACGCAAACTTGATTCACCTCTTGAGTCACTTCCGTGACGCCCATCAGCGGTGTGTTGCCCAGCTGTGCTGTTCGACTGTCCCGCTGCAATCCCCAGTTTGGTCGGGGGTTTAGTTTCGGCACCTTGTGGACTGTCTGGTCCTTTTGAGTGTGGGCCTTGCCCCCGTGTGTGATGGGAGCCAGCCTGGCTCCTATCACTTGCATATGCATGCCTGACTTGAATGAGCTTTCCCCAAGTCACCTCTGGAAAAGATTGAGCCGTTTGCATTGCATCTTTGAGATTCTGCCGTGAGTGAATTTTATGAAACAGAAATGTTATACTGAATAGTATTTCTTGAACACCGAGCTGATATACTTGAGTGTATTGATGATGCCAAAGGTTTTTGGTTTATTTATTTTTGGCACTTGGTTCAAACTTAATGCTGTTTTCCAAATGCCTTCCTTTCCTTTACAATGCAGTTTTTGAGCGCCGGTAGTACTTTCACTCTCATCTGATGTCCAGGCGTTTTTTTTTTTTTGGGCGGCGAGCCGGTGAATTGAGTTTTGTTTGACGTGGATTGCCAGCATTTTTCGACCCGCAAGGTGCCATGGCACAGGGTCCTTGGCATTCGTTCCTTGGGCTTTTGGACGCGCGGCCTGCCGTTTTGCTGAATGGTGCGGGGCCTTGTACAACACCGATTTATTCCCAAACAGCATTGTGCAAAAAGGAAACCCGCGCTTGGAGCCCAAATTAAAACCGCGTAAATGCCGCGAAAACATGCAGGGAGCCCAGGCTTTGCCCGCTCAGAACCGTATGAATCCCGGAAGGCCCATCAATCCAGCCAGCGGGACTTATGGTATAGTATCCCGAGACAAGGGGCTGAGATCTGAGACTTGGGTGATTTAGTTTTCAAAGATCATACAACCGCTTTGATTTGCGGATGGCTCAAAAAACAATTGCTTTAGAAGACGATTTCCAAACGTTCACGACATGGTGAGTTGCCCTTGGCAAGCCGCAATTCTCCGAAACCGATGCAGATCAGATTGCAGCATTTTCTGATTACGAATGATAATTTTCAATCCTGCCCGCGCGTCGTTTTGCCAATCTGCAGACCCCGTACCTTGTGAAACAAACATAATTGTTACAAAACGTTCAAACCTGTTTTGTTGAAGGCGTTCGTTTTTGGAGCAACAACACCGCCAAAAGTCATGGCATATGGATGTATTTTCACTGCATCCTATGTTGTGCAGTTGCATAGGAATTTGAATATGTCAGTTGAACATACGTTGATCTGAATGCGTACAATTGCTTTGGACAGCAAGGTGCGCGGCATCAGTAATGTTTTCATGGATGAGGAGACAACAGCTGAGTTGAAAGCGAGGATAAATATGGTCAATGGTCCGAACATGGGTCAGTCATTGACGACGCATTGAGCCGCTTGATGTTTGATTTGCTGCCTGGGGGCCATATATGTTCATCCCACTCTTGATTTTATGTTGTGGTTGGTTGCGCTACTGGGGTGACAAGCAGCTGGCATGGAGGTGTGGAAGCTGTTGTCGCCCCCGAATGCAAAAGCAACAGTGTTGACCACTGTTGAGTGATGTCCATATTCCCAACAAAGTTTTCGGTATTCGATGAATGATTTTGATTCAAAGGGGTCTGAGGAAAAAATGGCCCCATCTCATCAAGCATGCGGACCAGTGAAGCTGAAACACAGATTTTTTTGCGAACGTACTGTCGATTTGCCAAAAACATGTAAAGCCAAACCCGGGAACGCTTTCAGAGATGGTGTGGTGTTGGATTTTGTGCACCTCGCGTCCAGGTGTGGCATGCAGCCATGTCAAATATGGTCTTGTGCATGTTCGTTTTGCTCATGTTTGAGATCCATGTTGTTTACAGGTTCACACTTTTTTTCCGGTGTTTTGGCTTGTGACAGCAGCAATCATGTTGAAGCAGCTACTTTCCAACGTTGGCATGGGAACTCAGTTTTCGAACTGCTGCACTTCAAAACACAGTTAGGTCTACAAATCTTGAATGTACATGCTTGCGTCTATCGCCATCAGGTCGAAAGTTCCATGAGTGCCTTTGAAGAGTTGGGTATCTGCCCCGAGATCATCCAAGCCGTTGAAGAGGTGCCCATGAAAGATTGGCCCCAGCACGCAAACTGTTGGATGTGTGCAAATAGATGCGACAGGATGACTGGTTGCTTCCGACCCCTGTGCAGCAGGAGGCGCCTTGCCCAAATTGTGGTTGAGGCTAAAGAAGAACAGGTTATGAACCGATTTGGCGCTACTGCCTTCAAAACACTGAGCACCGAACTGCATGGTAGGCGTGAGATTTGGTTGTGAGCATCAACACGAGATCTGCCATCCGTGTGAAGGCCATCCCATTGATTCTGGGTGGAGGTGGGCAGCTCAGACCTTTTTGAAAAACTGCGTGCGTGGCATTATTGTCACTCCGTCTGAGAATCAATGTTCCGCATGGCATGTCCAGCTTGATGCGTCAGGCGATGTTCTAGTGGCGGCCGAAACTGGAAGTGGAAAGACCGGTGCCTTCGGTGTGTAGCTGAGCTATGGGGTTCGTTGGCTGGAACAGCAATACCATCATGTTGCCGCATGTTGCGTTTGTTCACTCAGCGAGTGTCCTGAGATTCTGACATGCTAGTGCACCGTGCGTGGGCATCCAACTCTATCTTTGAGGTTTGCCTTGTCTCCAAATTGTGCACGAGACCTTGCGAGGAAAATGCAGCACAAGGTCAGTGTCAGCTGCAAACAATTGTATCAAGTCTCGATGCTTTGGGACCAGCACTCTCTTGCGATTTCAGTCCTCCCACCGACTTGCAGGAAAGCACACGCGTTAAATCTCAAGTGTGAGCTCAACCTGAATGACAAGGCCTGAGCAATTGTCAAGCTCGTCGAGTCGTCAAGTTGTGAGTGTGCAAGCGGACGTAGGGCACATGTCTTTAGCACGCCACGGCATTTTTTTGATTCTAGTTTTTGCCCGCGCAGGATATGTTTGTGCTGGTGACAGAGGATGGCATGGAATGCAAAAGCGAGGATGACAAGCGATGGAATGGGACTGCGCCCTAGTCATGCAAGCTCATTCTGAGAGTTTGCTCCTGCAAGCAGTATGTGCATGCGAGTTCTGACGAATTTCAGGGCTTTTATATGTTTGAGTTCTAGCAAATCTCAGAAGTAATAATGCGACAGGGACATGCGGTAGGCTGAAGCTCTGTCAAGCAGACCACGGTGGAGACCAATTTCTGCTGTTTATTGAGGAGCAAAACCGAACAGGTTTTGATCTTGTCTTGGCGGTGATCCATGGCATTGCCATTTCGGCCAGTGTAGTAATGATTGGCAAGCACAACCGGCACCCGCTTCAGCTTGAAGTGCTGGAGCATGTTTGTTTGCAAGAGCAGATGTGTGGTCCAAGGATTCGTGCCACAATCGAGGTAATGCAGGGTAGCTACATGTTTGAGGTGGAGGCCGGACACGTTATCAAGACTGCACTGCTGCTGGGATTTCCTCTGGTTCCAAGCCGCACCTTCTGTCAGTTCTCGGCTCGTAGAGTCTACGGCTGCTTCCTGCTTCACTGAGCTTTTGAAAACTTGCAGGTCGTCGAAGGCTTGCTGAGAGTAGGCGGGTGCACCCATTCGTAGTGTTTTTCTATGCTCCAAGAGACGTCACGCCAGGTTCTGCGGGGTCCTAGGTAGTGCCAACGTGTCATTTCGCCATGATGCAATACGGTAGTAGTGGCAATCTGCTTTTGCATTCATTGTCCTGGCTTCTATCCTCGGAGTGGACGATACTGAGTTTGCGGCCACAACGACTACATACAATGACATGCAACGTCGTGTGCGGACAGGACGATGAAGAAGTGCAGTGTTTACCGATTCAAATGGTAGGGGGTGCAAAGGCATTCCTTAAATATCGTTAAATATCGTGTGCTATCGGTGCGGGGTTGTTGTGTTTAGGGTAAAGGGACCTTTTTTTGGCGCGCTCGCGGCATGTTCCAATAAAGGGACCATTTTTTTGGCGCGCTCGCGGCATGTTCCAAGTTGCAAGACATGTAGATGAGGGATCCTCACGATTCGGTTCAAGATCGCTATTGTGCGGCGTCCTTCTCTCTCTCGCTCTCTCTCTCTCTCTCTCTCTCCACGGCGTGGAGCGTCCGCCAATCTGGCTCGAAATCATCCTGTTGCAGAGGGTCCTTCCTGCCGCATGGATCATGATCGTACTTAGATTGGCATCGTGCTCAGCAGTCGCATGCGGCTGCTCCGGGTGAAGTGCAGTTGTGTCATCGTCACGTGAAGCATCCTCACAGATTTCCCGTTCCATCCGTGGTGCTGGAGTGGTTTTGGAATGCTTGCAGTGCTCTTGGAGCGCTTTCGGCGCTGGGCCACTGCTTGGGGTCCACACTCATGGCCTTGCCAGGTTGGAGTGCGGGCTTCGCAAAGCTGGAGCTTGGAATTGATGACAAGAGTAGCCGCCCCAGATTTTTTGGACTTGTGCAAGGGCGAGTTGTTTGATTCAGGAGCTTACATTCACTTGCTCGGTATCTTGCACGCATCATCATCATCATCATCATCATCATCATCATGGCAAATCTTGCTTTGAGAGTCCAGGCTTTGGTTTTGGCTCCACGGGCAAGAAAAGCTGGAACCGCAAGTTTGAGGACGCGACAGGGCAATTATTTTTTTCCGGACACATGTTTGTGCCAACGGTTCCACGTTTTGCCACATTTTACTGGTGCGGAGGCTATGACATCATCAATGTTGGACAGCATGTCTAGATCTGGGCACATCCAGGGCCGAACCATCATGTGCCCATGTTTTCAGAGTTTCCCATCATCACAGCATTCATGCCCACTTGATAATCTGGTCCCTGTTCGAGAGCACGCGAAAACCGAAGAATCGGCTTTGCCGCATTAGTCCAAGGACTGTGCACATTAGTCCAGGCTACGCCACGTTAGTCCAAGGATCGTTCCTATGAGTCGAAGGATCGTTCCCATTAGTTCAAACTACGCCCCATTAGTCCAAGGGTATGAGGAGTTGTGACTTGATTTTATCATCGCGCGATTAGTCCAAGGATGTTTCCTATGTGTCTAAGGGTCGTTCCCCTTGGTCCAAGCTACGCCCCATGTGTCGGAAGGTGTGCGGTGTTCTGATTTAATTTTATCATCGCCCCATTAGTCCAAGGATTGTTCCTATTAGATCAAGGATCCTTCCCATCAGTCCAAGGATTTTCCCATTGTCCAAGCTAAACCACAATAACGTTCGTGTTCCGAGAGCATGTATGAAATTCACAGCATCCGCGCCTAAACCCTAACGACGTTCGCATTCCGAGAGCGTCCGAGAACCAGCGCATCCATGCCCAAACCACAATTCCGTTCGTGTTCCAAGAGGATACGTTGACCAGAGCCGTTCGTCTTCCGAGAGCCTCCCGTAACCAGAGCATCCATGCCCAAGCCATGATGATGCCCGTGTTCCGAGAGGATGCGCTGACAAAAGCATGCATGCCTAAACCATGCAACAACGTTCGTCTTCCGAGAATTCTGGATAAGGCACAGTCTGCATTCTGACATTTTGTCTTTTTAAAGTGCCCGTGGCCGGAGCGTTGTTCGAAGATGGTGAGACCACGTTCAAAAGAACCGGCGCGCACCTCAAGAACCTCAGCAAGTTAAAAGATAAAAGAAAGCTATGCCCTCAAATGCCAAAATACTATAAAAAGTCCTCAAATGCCAAAATAATATGAACATTTCCGTGCGATTCATTTTTGCGTTAGAAAAAGCTCCAAAATCCAACGTTTAGCAAGATTCCGAAAAAAAAGGGAGCACATTTTTTTAAGCCCCTAAGCCGAAACTGTGGCGAGAGTACCATTCTTGCACCAGGCGCAGGACAATAATCCACACGGCTTCATGTTTGTCCCACAGGCTTGAGGCAACTCGGGCCCTCTTGCCTGGCTAAGTATCACGACCAGCAGTGATGACAGGTCGTCCCTGCCAAGAACAGGAGGTTCTGCTTTTCCACTGCTGCTTTTCCTTGTTTTTTTGTTGCCTTGGGCATGCCATCACAGAAAAGCGAAAGGGAATTCAAAGCTAGTTCCACTGCAATCGCTCGTGTCAACAAAAATGTGGGCAATGATCCAAAACGTTGTTTGCGCTGCCCGATCCAGGATAATCCAGGCTTTGTTTCCTGAATCCGTCCACACCCATGTGCCACTGAAAGCCCTTCAGTTTCGCGCCATTCTTTCATTGTCAGGACTATGGTGAAGCTTTTGAAGAGGGCGACATCATCGGCCAGATGCTGAGACCTGCCAGCCTCAAAGAACCACTTCTTCTCATTGATAAGTGGAACAGAGCTGTTCACAACCAACCACCGTTCTGCGAGAGCGAAAGAAACATCAATGAAGTGAAGTGCTTGCAGATGTCAGCTCTTGGGAGGCATGGCTTCTGGGACTGTGTACAGTGAGCTAGCTTCAAGCGGGACCTTCGGTTCTAAAGCTTGGGATGGTTGTGTTGGCAGCCACAAGCGGTTGGTTTGGTAAATGGAGCACGTAAAGTGCAAAATGCAACTGCATTTCCAGGTTGCCTGCTGGATCGCGAGAAGCAGACCATTTCCTTCACGAAGAACGGCAGAGATTTGGGAGTTGCCTACAAGCGCGCTTGCCTAGATTCCAGGACCATGTGTGCCGAGTCTTGCCTCTCCTTAACCCGCCATCGCATCCAGGTTGCCGCCCGATATGCAGAGGATAGGCCTCAAGCCCCACATCTGTGGCAAGGCGAACGTTGTATGACTTTTTTCATCCAGCTTTGCAGATTTGTTAAATCTCTTTTCTGTTCAAATTGTTACCTTGCAGGGGGGAGGGTCCTGGGATGTTCCTTCCAGGGCTTCATGGCTGCAGCGAAGTTCGACGGCCCGATGGAGTACCCGGTGGAGGGCTACACTCCCGTAGGCCAAAATGGTGAATATTTTCCATCTGCAGCATATATTATGCCCAGAAAATGCATCCGAAAGACAGGTACTGCATACTCGATGCCTGGAATCAATCTGAAGAAATTCTGGTCTGCAGGTGAGATCGACCCCACACATACTCCGCAGGGCACATCGCAGGCCAAAGGTGATAGCCTCGGCCTCCTTACTTCTTGCCATGGCCGCTTTGGAGGTTCGAAGGGTTCAATAAGCATGTAAAACTGGGCCTGCTATTCTACTTATTATTATCTCCTAAGTTACCTTGTAGGCTGGGTAGAGCTATAACCCAGGGGTCAAGAGTACCCAGTCCCATGAACCCCAAATCAAACGTCAGTCATTGTTGTCTCGCGGCTGAGGCAAGCGTCCACCACTCTGCATGATCCTAGAACCCACAAGGCCAGATTCCGTAAAGGATGTACGACATAGTCGCAAGCGGGAAGCGTCTACGAGCCTGTCAGGGACCTGGCTGAGCAGACCTACAAGTGCCAACTGACCGCAGATGCATAGGGCCGTAGCAGGCGTGGATTCAGTTCTGGCAAGATCCTGACAGAATGTGAGGCATGACAACATTCAACAAGTACCTGGACAACCCCACGGTGAGAATAACATTGTTTGTCGGAGGGATCGATGAGAAGGCTGGGGCTGCTTGAGCTGATGCTCGTTCCTCTGAACTTATCACAGCAGTTTTATCAGGAGCAGTTCCGAGCATTGGAAGAAGGAGTGGACATTGTTGTCGGAGCCTTGCGGAGGGGTAGCAAAGTACAGCAGCTATCTTCTTCAAGTGAGGGCTGGTTAGGGGTGCATTTTTGATTCAAAAGCTTCCCAAAGGTCGGCACGCTGCAGAAGCTGATGGACTATGTCCGACGCGGCAAGCTGGTCCTCCCCTGAGCTCCGCAGCACGCGGTGTTTGCCTGGTTCTCTCAACTAGCATTAGCAAGCTACAGCATAGTTGTGCCTCATGCGTCTGCAGGTGAACATGTAGAATACTTTCAAGAGTAAGAAATGCTGCCAAAGTGGGCCTTCAACCCCAGAGGACGTCACGCAGCTCAAGTTCTTGGTGCTGGATGAAGCAGATGATCTGCAGAAGAAAGATGATCGAAAGGCACCTGTGCTAGCTCAGGGATGGTCAGTGGTCTGGGCAGGAGCATGCAGGGCTGCTAGTCCTACAATGCTGGAGTTATTATGAATGCTCAGCTTTCACGGGCTGGGAGCATGTGGTACGACTTCGAACAACAGGTGGACAAACCATCCAATGCTTTCTGGTGCTTGAGGAGATTCCTCGTCTAAATGCACAGATCAAGCGTGGCCGTCGTGATCGGGTGACTTGAAATGCAAAAGGCATATGTCTCCCTAGCTTGTCAGGACTGTCAAGACCTCTCAGTGGCTGAGACCTTCATGTTGCTTTCCACCCAAGGTCCAGACGCTGTTTTTCAGTGCTACACTTCACACACCCGAGGCTGTTATTTGAAGCAGAATGCAGAAGAGATGTGAGTTTTGCCAATAAGCTTCACTTGCATCAATGCTCATCTGAATTTACAAGCTGGCATCGCATTAGAAGGTGGTGCAGATGATCGACGAGATCACATCCAGACCCATTTGGGTGGATCTCAAGGGCAAGGAGCTTCCATCTTACCTGCATTTGTCTGGTAATTAAGGGCTTGCAAGGACTCCGTCCCAGAGACGGTTCACCATGTGGCACTATACATTGATCCGTTGGACGCTAAGACATTGCTGCTCTTCCCTTTCTGTTGCGGTGTTGTGGTTGTTCTTGTTCTTCTTCTTCTTCTTATAGGTGAGGGTGGTTCTGGCGGTGCCAGGGCCGTGGTTGCCGGTGCCGGGTGGCCGCGATGATGGCTGTGATGGCAGCGGTGACGATGGTGGTGTCGTTGATGGCTCGGTGAGGGTGGTTGTCGGATTGTGGCTGCCGTTGTTTGTTGTTCTTGCTGTTTATTTTGTCGGTAGTAGTATTAGTAGTTGTTGCTGCTGCTGTTGTTGGTGCTGCGCTCAGGAGCAATTAAGAGGCTTGATCTCCGTCATGTGCATGAGAAGAAAATGGGTGTGCAAGTTGTTATTGATTGAACGAAATAGATGTTCTTGGCATGCAGGTAGTGCAGCGGTTGAAGCACAGCTTGTTTCACAGCTCAGGTACCAAGATCTGCAATGGAGCGATGCTGAGATTGCAGTGCGCGCAAAAGCTCCCAAGGACAGAGTCCCCGAAAGGTTTGTTGCGCAGAGGGTTTTTCGGACAGGGCACAGTTGCGTCAAAGCTTCAAGTGGTTTGTCACAAGTCTTGTTGAAGTGGTAAAGGCTGGCCTTTGCCTTTGGATCTGGATTTTCTGCAAATGTGTGATGCTACCCCTGCACTGAAGAGCTGTGCTGTATCTTCACCACTGCCATGTTTCCATTTAATTTCTAGTTTCAGCCAAGCTGCGTAGTTCTACGCTTGTCAGGGTAGCGCTAGCAACAGCAAGATGTCACAAGATGGTCCACGACTGGAGATGAACACGTTCCTGGATAAGTTTCAGAGATCCATCTCTTGGCTGCTAATGCTACGCGGAACTTGCTTTCAGCTTTGCGCAGCCTGCCACAATTGAAGGAGCAGCCAGAGCTTGATGGTGTGCACACCAAACCGACTATGTCCAGCATCGACCGGCTGCAAACTAAGCAAGTCCAAGCAGACCGGAAACTTACTGTTCGTCTATTCGTCATTGCCCAACTACTAGGAACCATCCGGATGCGCTCAAAATGTCTGAGAAGATTAAGATGATGAAGCCAAAAATGGTTTTGCACTGAGACGGAGTTTGTTCGTGTGAAATTTGTTGTGAGAGTCCCGTGCGCTTGATGCTTGGCAGGTCGTGAAGCTTGCTGATGCTTTCAACATGCGCTGGCCTCACAGCTCAAGGGGCCTTGTTGCATTGGCGGCAGTTCAAGCCCAGCTCAAGCCCGTGCTATCCTACAGGTCGCAGTGTCTCGTCTTCTGCCGCACGAATGTTGATTGTGCCCTGGCCATGGGTTAATATGGTGCTTAGTCCAGGGCCGAGGGCGGTGCTCATGCTGTCTTCCGATGTCTTTACATCAAACGCAGAGCATCGTAAGAAAACAAACAGCTCGATGTGAATCTAGTGCGGTGGCCATAGTGCGAGCTGGACATGGAGTTGCCGGTAGAGCTAGCGATCGCCCCTTCTGCTCCCTCCTGTTGGCTGTCATTTGGTAGCTAGTCACTCATTTGCATGTACTGTCTGCAGTCATGGCAGTCATCATGGCTATGTCGTCTGAGAATCAGCATCATCCACGGTTTGTCGTGTTTCAGCCTGCGTTCGAAACGTTCTGACAATGATACACCTGTACTGTAGCAATCATATTAACAGCGCACGCCTGAACCCCAGCAGTCATCTGCAATTTTTGACCTGTCTTTGCCAGAAGGCATTGAGCATCCGGCATGACCACTTGCAATCGCCATCTAATAGTTCTGTCAGCGTCAGCATTCATCTTTCTTCTAGCAACCTGCAAAACATGTAGCAATTTAGCATTTCTTGGCACGTGCCTTCATGCACCACTATGTTTATTTTAGTTACCGTGATGAAACTTGCCATCGCGCGTCATCCCAGTCACCATGATCACCATTGTCATCGGCAAAGCTGCTTGCATCATCCCGCTTTTTCTTTTCATTGTCATCGTCATCAGGACTATTTCGCTGTGGAAGTTGTCCTTAGAGTCATTCATAGTATATTTCGAGCAAGGTTCTGATCTTCATTTCAGGTTCATCTTTCTCATCTTGACCGCGAATCATGCCCTTTGTCGGTTCGCACACGCTTCACAGAAACAAATCCATCAGCCTAGCATCACCTATTAGCCAGCTTGTATCAACTGTTGCTTCGATGATTCTGCTTTGATGATTCACATCTACGCCATCTACAAGCAACTTAGTCGCCCTGCTTGCTTGCTCCCTCACAGTTTCTTTCTCTAGACTTGATGCTTGCCATCGTCTTGCAGCGGACACCTGATGCTTTAAGGTAACAACCTGGAAGACTACATGAATCGCTTGGGCGGCACAAAGGCGACTGCCAGAAATGCATTGCATTGTGTGAGTTTGTCATATCACTCATATTCACCGGTGATTGATTTCACATGAAGCCAAGAGCCGTATGATTTCTCTGCATGCTTTGTGTTGAGCATGCTCTGACATTGCATGTTCTGATATTGTGCGCGGTAGGATGTTGTCCTCCCCTGACCTGAATTGCAAGAAGGCCTATGGAGGCAAGATGGAGACTGGCAAGGAAAACCCGTACAGCTGCGTGGTTCTGGCCGGAATGCGCAACCAGGAGTCAACGGCCAGCTGTTGATGCTTCTGATTTTTTTGACTTCATTTCCTTCTTGTTTTGCCGGAGGACGAGCGACGTTCCAATCTGGAATCCTTCAAAGAAGGTGATGCCGCTGACTCAGAGAAATGCTCGAAAGTCGTTTGCAAGCCCCAGCGATGGAGCTCTGGTTGCAGGTGCGTTTCCTCATTTGCACGGACGTAGCGGCAAGAGGAATCGACATTGCTGGATTGCCTTTCGTGATCCAGTGCGAAGCTCAATGGGATTCGCGACAGTGGACACATTGGCCCATTCGTAGTTGCCTCGTCGCTCAGTTCATAGGGAAGTCACATGCACAAGGACAACGCTGCCTGATGACATCGAGAACTACATCCATCGAATAGGTCCTGTTCTCACTCATTATTGACAAGGCTGTGCAGATAATGGCCAGTGCATCAAGACTTGCAGATTTGCCCAAGAATTGCTTCATGCGAGCATGCACTGGAGCTCTCGCCCAGTGCAGGCACTTTAGGGTGTTAAGGCCGATGTGGTCGAGCAGAGCGAATGGGCTTGGCCATCTCTGTTGCCAGCGCCTCACGCACACTTTGCGACGTGCAACATATTGGACGCAGTTCCGTAAGCCTGCTCTACTACTAGGTGGCGACAGAAAAGGAGAAAGTCTGGTACCACAAGTGCCCGTCCCGGGGAAAGGATTGCTTGTGATGTGTAGAATGAAATGTGACATGTAGCTGGCCAACGCAATAATGGAGAATAAAAGGAGACCTCTCTCAGCGTAGGACTGCAAGCCGTGGCCCGGCAACACGAAGCTGACGATCCCATTTGGACCCGACGGCAAATTGAGGCACTCAGTGCTAATCCACAGAATTCCGACTCGCCTGCCAGTGTGTTAGCGCCTGCCATTGAATTTGTGTGATGGACCTCTTGTCTGCTGTCGTTGGACAGGCCACGCGATGATGCAAACTGGATCATCGATGAGGGTGGCTGCAGCATTTGGTATGACGAGCCTGACCTCATCAAGAAGGCACATGGGCTGATGCGCCTGGAGATTCTTCAGCCTGAGCCGTGAAAAGGTTGAGACTCGCATCGGCATGCCAATGAAGGTCATGGATCCGGAGGCTAACAATTCCTCTAAACAGCTCCCCTATTTGTTTGCCTTGGCTGCTCAGCGCCAGTCGTGCTGTGTCAGGACTTCAGTGTTGCTGGGGTTCTGGAAAGCCCTTTTGGTGAAGCAGGGAAGAAGAGGCTCAAGAAGGCCTGGGCACGGAGCACCTTTCAAGCCATCCCTCTTTTCAGTTGGTGCGGTCTTGGGGGTGGCCACCGGAGTACTGAAATGCGTGTGTGGGGTGGGCATCGCTAAGAAGGAACAGCAGAAGTTATGGCGTCTGCAGGAGGCCACTGTCAAAGAGCCTCCAAGCAGGAGAGCACAGATGAGAAAGAAGGAGGTGGCTTTGAGATGCTTTGAGTATGAGCAACTGCTTTCAAGGGCAAGGGTTCGCTTCCCAGCATTCCAGACGTTTTCTCCTTTACAAAGGAAGCTGCGGTGGTTGTCTACGGTGCAAAGCCGCTTGGTTGAAATTGCCTACACCCCCGTTCATTTGTCGGCCATGTAGTAGGCTTATCCAGTTTTTCTTTCGGCAGACCAACGGTCATTGATGCTGTCACGTGACTAGTGTTGATAAATGGGGTTTTAATGAGAAGACTGTGATCTAATTGGTTCGCCCACAAAAATTGCTATTCATGTACAACAACTGATGTTTGGAGTTTCCCCCTGCAGGAAAGGTGACAAGACCATAGCAATGACAGCGAAGCACACCAGCGCCTGCCTCCAAGAGATGAACCTCCAAGCAGTTCTCACCATATGTGTCAACATCTCCCGCATTTCATCCAAAAGCATCGCACTTCAGACTTGCTTGAAATGAGGCCCTTGCGCCCGTTGTCACTGAGCTTGCGTCGCTGGAGAAAGAGATCCAGTGCACCTGGCAAGCTTCAATTCTTGTTTCCCGCGCTCACGGTAGGTGGTTGCAATGTTCATTTTATTTCTGCCGCAGCCTGTACAAGCGAAGTTGGCTTTTGCTGGTTCCGAAGCATGAGCAGGCAGATATTCGCGAAGGTCATGCGCGGGGCTCAGTCGGAGTCTCACACAGTGGTGTGCCTTGCTTATTCGGCAGCAGGGTCTTGCAGGCAGAGTGTGCAATATGCTCATGATGGCTATGGAGATTTTTGCTTGGCTGATAAATTATGCCCTGCAGCATTTTGCAATTTATAGCATCTCCTGATCGCCAACTGGGTGATTAGTGCCTCGTGGCTGGAGGCTGGCTTAGGAGGTTTTGCTTCTCGCTGCAAACATGAGCAGTTCGATTCTTCTTGACTGTTGTTTTGTTGCATGCTATGCTTGTCGCTTCTGTGAAGGACGCAATGGCAATGACCATCGACTGTGATCAGCTGCTTTCGATGTCTGGGTGCCTTGAATGCACAAGCCTTGCATCTCACCAAACTGTCTTTCCAAAGGCATTCTGTTTCAAGCTTCAAAGTTGAGGTGTGTGACCCCGCCTCCGCCTGCTGTGAATCTGGGTATGGGGCTGGCAGCCGGACATCACGAGGACGATAGAGCGTTTTGCACAAAAGCAGGGCGCAAGAGCTGTTACTGGTAGTATGGCTGCACGGAGGTTGCGAGTTCTGGCACCTTGCAGGAAGAAGTGGCTACGCCCAAGTTGGTTGCAGGCCACACGCTAGATGACTTCACCTGATGTCTTGCGTGCAGGAGCCCGTCCAAATTTGGTAGTTGCGTCAATACTGGATTTTCACCATGCGCAGGTGCTGGGCACATGGATGGAATCATGGCTGATGCCGGACCTCCCAGCTTTCCAAGCAAAATCATTGCAAATGGGCATGGCTACAAATCGCTATCCGCTATCCGTGTGAGTTGACTTTCCCTGGCCGAGGCCCTGCACAGTAAGCTCCAGCAGCTGCAGGAGCAGATGTACTGGAAGTCCGAGGCGTGAGACTTTCTTGTGCTTTCGAGCTGTCCGCTAAGACTCCGTGCTCGCCAAGTCTGACCTCCACCAGTGATTTGACAGGAAGCTTGCGTCGTTCCTGGTCATGTCTCCGGTGATAAGATGAGTTTTGGGAATGACTTCGTTAAGGCCAGGCTCATTCTTTGCCTCAATTGCTCATGTGCCCAACTCATTTTGGCAGGTGAGAGGCATGTACGAGACTTTCCAGACAAGTCAACTGTAGAACCCCACAGGTGCCGCTGCCTGGACAGCAGACCAGCATGCTGGTTCCTCAATGCGACAGAGTTTTGATTTGGTTGTATACTTTCTTGAAAGACCGCTTCCTCGTTCACTGTCCCATCAAGCTCCCACCAACTGGATCTCCCTTCTCAAAGGCCAGTGCCACCTCCACCTCAGCCGCATTATGTGCAGCGTCCGCCAAAGGCCGGGCTCGCAGTACCAGAGCTTGCCATGCTAGCCATCCTGTTGCCAGATGTTGCCAGGATCCGCGCTTCCGGCCCATTCCTGACAGGGCCAACGTGGTGATCTCCAAGGGCATCTCGGATTTTGTTTGGAATTGTGAGTTGTACAAATGTCTGAAATGCCTCAGGATCGGTTGGTCATCCTGTGAGCTGCGCTGCTGCTTGCAAGTACGTGAAGCGCAAGGCCTCCTCCAATCGCCTCAAGCGCAAAAGTTTTCAGAGACATGTTGTCTTGACCAGGGTGGCTGCCGAGATGGTGCTGACTGTCAACTCTGCGCGGCAGCCAAGACATGCCAAGATAGAGCTTCAGGTCTTCCAGCTTCAACGGCCCAATCGGCCCAGAAAGCCGCAAAAAACAGAAAGCTCTGGAAACATCGCAACAGGACGTAAAAGGGTAGTAGGCAATACCCTTCTTGCAGATGCATATATCTTGGTTACTGACAGTTGACAGAGATGAAAGCGCTGAGGCCATGAGTGCTTCTGGTCAAAGACATCTTCAAAGGATGGAGAGAGGAGGACAGGACTTGTGACAGCTAGAGCACTTCCCAGACAATTGGTTTAGGCCTAGCGGCATGGGCAGGCCTTGCTGTGAGGGAGTGGAGTCATCTCCATCTAAACCCGTCTAAACCCCTGAACTCAAACCACTTGTGCAAAGGGAGCTCCAGGATCTTTTGAGCTGGATGGTCCGCTGCCATCCGGAGCTGTCAAGGCTTTTTCAAGCACAGGCAGAAACGTGCTAAGGGAGCACCTGAGAGGGGGGGAGAGCCTGATGCATGATTCGATGCCGTGGGACTTTTGGGAAACCAGAGGCGGCCTTGGTGGCAGGGGAGCGGCGGGGCAGGAAAGGCTGGGACTTTCTGGGCAGCCGTCGGCGGATTTATTGAGTGCTCGCTGCAGACATGTTTCACCTTAGAATCGACCATTCTGTCACACTTCCAACTCTCCTGTGCTTGCCAGGAAAGATGACAAGGCCATGCGTTGACAATGTTCTACTTGCGATTGGACTTCATGTTTCGTTCCGTTGCCAGTTTGTGTTGCTGGTTGCAAGATCTTACGTGCATGTTGTGCATGCTATTAGCTGGTTGATGTGTTTGTACAAAAGGAACAGCAAATTGCCGGCTTAGCTGCACTGGACACCCCACCCCTTAACCCCGAACCTAACGCGGCTATTCTGTGTTGCAATTTTAATTTGTAGTTTGCCAACCCAGTTTGCCAACCATTACGTCGTTTCGCACTTCGATGGTCATTCAAGGATCACCGGGGCAGCATCATGGGCATTGTTGGGTTCCCTTCCTGCAGTTTCCGGCGTGCCGGTACACCCTGATGTTTTGACGCTTTGTTCATGTTGAACTTTGGCCCAAAACAGAACGGAATAGTTGAACAGGTTTCCAAAAATGGCTGTTTCAGATGCACTGTCGATCAGGAAAAGTCAGCTGGGTGAATCAACAACGAACTCGTGTAGATTTGCTGCAGGGAAAGCGGGGAGAGCCTCAGCAGTACTTCACTTGGATGAGAAAAAGGGTGCTCCTTGTCGCGAAAGCTAGCTGAGCTAGGCTTGAGTTTAGTCTTGCTTGAGCAGTAGTAGCCTTCAAAGTCTGGAAAACGCCGTAACGTGTGATACCTTACAGGATGCACAGGAAGCTCACGATTGTTTTTTTTGGGAGGGTCGAACGTGATTCTTTCACAGGAATCGTAGGTTTGGAGGAGAGGGTGGGGGGGTTCCAATGTGATTCCTTCTGCGAGAGGCTTCGTAGGAATAACGTTCGGTTGGTGATTGTACAGTACCATCATGCCTGGTTGCTGCATCAAATCTGCTTTTCTCAATGTTGACTGCCCTGGCATGCTCATGGTACGAATTAACAGCTCTATAACAATCCTTATCACTTACTTCTTTAATATGTTCTTTCCATTTTATATCTCATGCTGCAACTCAAGCACTACATGTTCCAGTTCCTGTAAACACTGCTCCTGTTGATGTTGGAGAAACGTAAGCATCAGAACCAAATGATGTCATGCCTAGCTTACTAGCATTATTAGTTGACATTGTATTTGTCCGTTGCTGTTTGGATTATCCATTTTGACTCGTTGACTTACTGATACATCCGAATGCGTAATGTCTACATGTCCTAATAAATCAGCCTGTCCGTCCGTCACTTCGATCTCTGGCGTTGATGATTGTAGTCCCATTGTAATGTTTCTGTCTCCTAACCCATTGCTGTTTCTGACAAGTAATTTTTTTGTGTCCAAGACTTCTTTAAGTTCAGTGCTGTTCTGAAACATACAGCGTCCCAACTAGTGACAACGACCTTTCCAACAATAGTGCTAATGCTACTACATGTTTAATTATGTGCTAATACTACGAAATGTTTGGCTATTTATAACTGCTCGGTGAATTGTTATTCTGAGAGTGTTGTCTAGTTGTACTGCTATTGTCCCTGTTGTGATGTCGGATGTTCTATCCGTATGCATATTTCCTCCGTCGGTATTTCATTTTAATTGCTATTAGCGTCTGCTCTTTGGTATAACCTTGCGTTCGTGTTTAATGGTTGCTCTCTCACTGATGTTGGATTCTAGTTATATCACAGGTTACATCGCTTTCCAGACCTTGAAGGCTACCACTTCTAAAGCAAGACTAAACTCAAGCCTAGCTCGCTTGATTTGTGCTGCTAGGGTTGCCGTTGTAGGGTCTGCTCCTTTATTAGATTGAAGACTGAAGATGATGTTATGAGAAGTTATGATGTTTAATTATGTATTAGCGCATGCCCTCTGATACATCTTATCCCTATCTAATCAATATGCTCCTGTCGGCGTCAAAAAATAAGTTCCTGGCTTACACATAGGTGCTTGCGTTGTCCCACCTACGTACTGTTCAGAAAAATGCCATATTGTGGTCTGCTCCTGTTCCTACTCTTTCCACTCCTGTCCCTCCTACCTTTACTTCACCTGTTGTTGCGTCTTGTATTTCCATAAGTCCTTGTGCTCCTTCTGTTCTTAAGCAGTTTGATATAGTTTAATTTACCATTCCTGAACTCCCAGGAAGTCGTTTCTGGTGGTCAAATCTAACTTCCCGGCTGTACTCTGCCTTTTGCGTTCACAGTTCACGACGGTTGTATGGTCATGGTAGGGGTGTGGTAGTCGCGTCAAACCTCCCTACTTGTTATTGTTCGCCATACCCCAGCAAGTTCACAATACGGACAACATGATGCTGGTGGTTTCAAAGGTTTTGCTCCCTAAGTCTTCACTGCTGGTCGTTGCGTCAAACCTCCCTGATCCTTCTGTACTGATCACTACCCGGCAAGCATCATCATGCCAGGTTGTTGCATCGCACCTTCCCCTCCTTCTGCCGTGTTCGATACCTTTGCCTGGTCTTGAAACAAGCAATTTCTGCTCGCTAAACCTACCCATGCATGAGCATGGTATGCATGGCATGAAGTTCGATGGTTGCACTGACGCTCGCTACTCCGTCTTTGATAGTGCATGCCCT